TGAAAAAGATACATTTTTTAAGAAGATAGTGGGGTTTTTTTTCTTCCCTTTTTGGTTAAGCCCTATTTATCCATAAACCAATCAAACTTCTGAGAGCAAATAATTGCAGAATTCTGCTTGAGGAGCAATTATTGCCAGCATGCGGATGTGGGGGGCGATTTTCGTCTAAAAATAAAAGGAAAGATTGACGGAGCGAAATTAACATTGTCCCTAACATTGTTTTAATTTTTGACTTGTCCATATTATGCTAACAAAACATTTCAATGTAGTGAGTTAGCATACTACACTACAAAGTTAGACGTGAATAAACCATGAAATCTACGTAGTAAATGGAACAGCTCCTTCAGTAAATTTAAAGGCGGTTGATTATGATTAATGTATTAATTAGTACTAAAATTCAGTGAGTTTTAAAACTATTTATATATTTAGTGTTTTGTACACAGTAGAAGAAACATTAGCACGCTAAGCTAACGTTACGTAGTTCACCTTGCAGTTGACGTAAAGGATACAGATACCGAGCACGAGCGCTCCTATTGCGAGTCCCGTCACAACGTTCCGCGTTCGGAGCTTTGATGTTGTCTTCTTCCACTGTTCCAGCTCCGCCTGCCTGATGAAATGCATCTGATCCTGGGAAAGCTTCTCTTTGGTCGGGTCTATCTTGGTGGCGAACGGAGAGTCAGACTGTGGAAGTTTCTTTTCAGCCATGTCTACGGTCAGTGCAGCGCCAGGGGGTGGTTCCAGACCACGCTGCCGAGCTTTAAATCATCTGCTACTACGGAACTTGACGATGTGACGTAAATGCGTTCTGCCTCTGTACATGATTGTCAGATCTATTTTCCTCTTCCTTTTCATTGGTGGGTGGCAAATCACATTTCAGACGTAACAGCAGGAACAGATTTAAAGACGGACATATGATTAATTTCTTAATCATATAAAGTTTATTTTTATTAAGCGAATACTTTTCAAAAGTGTCCCGTGGCTCTTTGGACCTTCCACGTCACTTTTAATAACTTCGGTTAAAATAAAAAAGAATCAGCTATTGTTTTTAAATTTAAACATTAAAAACAACACTTTCAAGAGTTTTTAAGTTTTTCTAAGAACACAATAAAAATTAATGACTAAAGTACCAGTTATCGTTTTAATTTCCCACATATATCAAATGTTTATCTCAAAAGAAAACAAACACACAAACAAAAATAAAATGGAAACACGGTATAGGAAGCATATTTCCTATATAACATAAAAAACATAGTTTTGCTGGAGTCATAGCAAACCAGGTATTTTGACTGTAAAGTTTGTTGACCCCCTGCTCTAGACAAATTAACAGCCATTAAACCAAATGCCTTTTTTTTTTTTTTTTTTTTTTTTTTTTTTTTTTTTTTGTAAATGTTGTTCAAGGTGGATTACGGATTTACTTTAGAAATGTACTTTAGAAATTCCCCTCGGAGACTTTTCAGAATAAATGGGATTTTTGTTTTTAGACAATTGGCTGCTATAATCATGTGCTTTACATGTCCACAAATGAGCTTCAGAGATTTTAACTGCCTACCGAGCATACGTGGGAAAGATTCACCAACATTTTCTGAATGCAAACCTTTGTGTTTGTATTAAACGGAGACCGCGGTTTCCAATTCTAGTCTACTTATGTCGGCTTTGCGGCCATGCTTGCCTTCCACAATATGGCGGATGTTTTAGCATGTCCGGTGCGGAGTAAAATTCGGGTACATTGGTTCCTACTAAAAAAAGGACCCAGAAAGGAGCTTACTAAGAGTGCCATCTTGTGGTAGACATAATTCCCAGGCAAGGGGTAGTATTTGTGTTTCGGAACAGAGGAAAATGTCAATTCAGTTTGTAATGTAACACTTAAGAATCTAGGAGAACTGCACGTTAAACGTTAGCTTTGTCAAAGCAGCATGTCAAAAAACTTAGCTTCTTTTCGTCAACGTGGCGTCGCACGTCTAAGGTTTGGCGAAACTCCCTTCGACGTTCTCAATGATTTCCTCAATAATTTAAACAACATTAACAAGGACTATCTGGACGGCTTGCCGAAATGGAGTGGAACATTTAAACAGAAAAGACTCCTTGGTAAGTTTAAAAAAAATTACTGATCATTGTTGACTATATAAAAAAGGACGGAAAAAGTTTTACGTACACTTTAAATCTTAGGTTTTTCTAAAACAAAAACGTAAGAAAAACACTTTTTACTCGTATAACTCTAATTGTACGATTCTGTTGAATACACGTTAACAGCCGTTAATTTTGTTCAGCAAAACTATGTTTAAGCAATATTTTCCCATGTATAGTCGCGCATAATTTAAGATTGAGAAAATATGCTTTCTATATTGTTTTTTTATTCATTAACTTGAATAAATAGAGAGCAATATTTATATTCAATATATATTTATTGGATTTATTTATAAATAGAGAGTAATAGTATGTTTTCTAGTTTTTGGATGGTGACAGAAGCTTCATCAGTGTTTTATTTATTTTTTTCTATATAAACCTACTTCAATAGAACTTTAGAAAAATAATGTATCTTGAGAATTTTTCTTTTTCTGTATGTTCCTGAATTCTTATTTCTATAAAACACAACAATACTTTTCCTTCACAAATGTTTGCTCTACATAAAATTGACTTGTCAATGTAACACAGAATTATTGAAACAAAAAACACCTCGGTTTTCTGAATTTATGTACTTCCATCCTAAAGTTGTCCTGTCTCTTAGAATACATCTTCTTCATCACTGAAGAACTGAAACTTGATCCATCAGTAGGATACCATGCCATTGAACTGCTGCAGAGGTAAGCAGATGACACATCTCTTGCTTTCCTATTCACATGTTATCCATTATTAATGCAGTGTTTTTAATCTCTTCTAGGTTTATGGTAAAGCATGTTGCAGACACGCTTGCCAAACTCCCAATTCAAAGTGTAGCTATTAAAGAGGCAAAGAGTTATGGGGATGTGATTTTTGATAATCTCAAAGATAAATTCCCTCTGATCCTCTTCTCTTGTGTGCAACTTGCAAACAAACTGTTTTTGCATTGTGATGTAAGTGTTTTATTGCAGTTGACTGATAATTGTCAGTATTTTCAAAGAATAAAATCAAGACTTTACAGGACCTTTTCTTCATTGCAGATGATAGACACGTCCACTGCTGTAGAGTTTCTGCATTCTCTCGGCCTCAGTGTTTCCAAACAGACTCTCCTGGAATCAGAGCTGATGGTCTTTAAAGGCGTTGAATACAGACTCGATGTCCGTAACTCTCTGACGTATGTGGAAGTCATTCTGGAGGTCCTTGGTAAGGTGTTTTGTTGATGATGACTAATTTACATTAGGAATGTACTGTTCCAGTCAAAGGTTTGCATACACTCTTAATGGGAATAAATGTCATGTGAATTTTAATCTTTTAATATGTGCACTTGAAATGTTTTCTTAGGGTGGATTTATGTAACAACTTTAATTGATTTTTAAACACAAGAATCAGGAGATAAGTTTGAATTGATATTAGATTTTCTCTGATCAAGTAAATTATGCTATGTGTACTTGCTGTAATGTATAAAGATATTCACTTAAATCTGTTTGAAATTAAACTGAAGGTTGTCAAAAAAAAATTTAAGCATTCAGGGATGATTATATTCTCATAAGTAACTGTGTGAACCTCTGACTGCCACTGTAAGACACATATGAATTAAAATACATGTGATGTGTATTTTGAATTTCATCGGTTCACTTTTGTAGGGCACAATGAGCCAACCATGCCTGTAGAGCACCTTCATCAACTCTGCCATAATGTCCTCCAGTTCGTCACCCTGAACCAGACTACAATCTATGAGTGTCTGCTAAGAAGTGTCTCTAAGTGTGTCAGCCCATCCAGGGAACAGAGGTACTATTATTTAGCTCTGATGTTTTCCATTAGGTAGTTTAACAATATTCTCTAATTGATGTTGCTCCAATAGCATTTAAAAAAAAAGTTGGTACTCGCAACATCTGTCCAGTGGCTTGCGTTCAATCTTTATAGTCACTAAATGCTCCACTGGCCAGTAGATGGTGGTATCCTCCACAGCATAGGGTCATAGATCCATTAGATTCAAGATTTTGTGGTTGAACAGAAGAATTTCAGCTGTTAGCACTTGCAGCAAAGCCTGTTGGGTTCAGATGTGTAACGGTGAAACCAAACATAAAAGCACAGCAGTTTCCTATTTGTGTCTATAAATGCTGTGCTTGTATTTATAGCTACACATCCATAAAGCTACAAAAACATAAGGGGAAGACCATTAGTAGGAAAAGCAGCTGTGTGTTTGTTTTATGAGATGTCCCTGTCTTGCTATGTGGTCTTAATGTAAATGATTTTTTAACACCAGGGAAACTTTTGTGACAGTGACTGAGGATCGCATGCTGCTTGGAGTTTGTGTCATTGCAGTGGCAACATACATCCTCTTTTTCAAAAAATGGAAGCAGGTGATAAACATATTTTCTATAAATAAGTATCTATCGTATTATTAAAATAGCCCATGCTTCTGTGTGTTATTCTTTCTATGATGCTTTCTGTCAACACAAAACAAACTGAGTGATTGCTCTTTCTGTGCTCATGCTACAGGTGGTTGGTGAGCTGAGCCACATCACAGGAATCACCAGAAGAAACATCGCTAATTTTGCCCAAGTGATAATAGTGCACATTGTTAGTGGCAGATCTTCAGCGGTGTAGACTCGCTAACTCACAGTAGTGACGCTGTTAGAAGTTCAACATATGTAGAAGGAAAATGTCCAGCATGCAGTTTCGGGGAACAATTTCTCCAACCCCCGAAAACGAATTACAATTGTGTTCTAGGAATTTAATGCGTTTTGGGAAATGCCACTTTTAATTTCTGTAAATGTTATATTAATTTTGCTGATCAGAGGAAAATGGAAAAGATTTGTAAATTATTTTTGGTCTCACTTTGTTGACATATTTCACAATAAATCTCATCTTGTTTCATCTGCCATTGATCAACTCACCAGAATTGCTCTACAGTTTATTGTTTAGTTCCACAGAAATTAAGATGGACTTGGCTTCTTGATTAGGTATCAGGTGTGCGTGGACGAACATTTAGTATAACCTCCCATCCTATAGTTCTTAGCGGACTCCCTATGCTGTTGAAATAAGTTGTGTACACCTGTAAAAGACAAAAAGAGAATTTTATAAAAACTTTACAGATTCCATTGCAAGTCTCTGGAGGTTGGAAATACAAATGTATGACTAATAAATGAGATTGCCATCAAGAGATAATCTATTAAAGGCATTTTTAATCAGAAGGTCAACTTGCATACGTATTTTAGCAAATAAAAAAAGATGCCACAGGGGGAAAGGTCACTGACAAGAAGGTAAAGTCAAATGAGTATATTTTAAAATAACTGGCTGCTCATAATGCTATTTCCAAACATGTTAATGGAAGGCTAATAAAAGTGGACTGTTCTGTGGTCCAAAGTCTGCTTTTCAGGAGTAACTATTTATTTTTTCAGAACTCAAGATTCCACTCTGGAAGAAGAGTGGAGAGACACAGAATCAAGTTCCAGTGTGAGGTTTTCAAAATAAATAATCATTTGAAGATCATTTCATCTGTTGAAATACACTGACAGCTTTTTGAGTATTGAAGACCATTTATAATTATTCATACTATCGACCCTGTTACTTCTGCACCTTTTTTTTCCAGACATTTTCCTTTTGCTTAATTTTCTAATTACTTATGGCATTACATGAGAACTTAGCTTCTCCAGCAAACAACTTCTGTGACCTACTTTCCCTTTGAGCAGTTTTAAAAACTGTTTGCTTGTTAACTGTCAAGCCGACTGTCTTCGCTATATGTCATACCATTTTTGTATCCAAAATATTTTGTTACCCTTGCTTAGTATTCTAATTTTCATAAGAAGTTTAATTTGAGTTCCAATAACCTGGAACAATGTTTTGGGGGTCTTCCAATTCTGAGAGTTTGGTAAACCTGTATTTCACATTACATCAAACTCATTGAATACATAAAGATTAGAGGCTATCGCGTTACCATAGGTGATAACAAAAGTACTTTGTTCATCAGCAACGCAGTACTCAGGAGTTCCAGTTCCGACATCAGATGTTCCACTTCGAATAAGAGTTCTTCGAAGTTACTCTGTTGGAAATGTTAGGGCAGCATAGTTTCAAGAAATGCTCCTCTTTATAAGCTCATATTTTTCTGTTCTATGTTTTACTTTGTTCATTAAGAGGTCCTGTGAGTGTTTACCTCTAATTCTTGCTGGCTGTTGTCCACAGAGTAAAATGTTTTGGTGCAAATCTCACATCTTGTGGCAGCACCCAAGGCAAACCCTGTAAAAAGTGTTGGCAGGTTACTCAACAACGTGATGGCAGACTCACTTTTATCATCTACCGTTCCGCAGCTGACCTGACTGTAGTCGGGTCCTGATCCATGTTCTCAGGCAACTGCAGTGAATATATTTCAGACTTCCTGAACACTGGCAGGGCGACAGGAGGGGGTCGGCATCTGAATGGTCTCCGTAGCAGATGCGGCACTGGCTGTCCTCATTATCATGTGATTTTTCATCTGGTGTACTGCAAAGACAAAGTGATCCAGCAAGACTATGCAATGTGACACCTAATAATTTCTCTGCTTTGTAGAACTTCTTATGTGTTTTTATGAACTAACTGATCACTACAAGAAGTTATAAATGAGGTGTTTTGCTGTGCAGACAACTGAAACAGTCTAATAAAGAAAAGTGTTGATCAGCTTTCATAAACAATAGCACAAGGCTATTGTTTATGAAACAATAATAGAAATAATAGAAGCACATAGTTGCTTCTAAGATTACATTTGCACCTTATTTACATATATTTCCCAAAATGCCTTGTAAGACCATAGAAATCTCATTGAAAAGAATTTGATATTTTAGGATAGTGTTATCACAGTACGTCTTTATTATTATTACACCAATTACATTCCTAAGGAGGCTATTTTCAGTAGTTTTTTGTTATTTTTAAGAAAATAACATCTTATTAGATTGCAAGAAATCAATCTTGCAATTGATTTCGGTTGCAAGAATTTTTTTTTTTGTGATTACCTCTCTTTGTGATCGCAGGAAGCATCATTTTTTAAACTTTCTGGTGATCGAGCTGCTTCATCTGTAGCTGTGGTCCATTGACTCTGCTCACTTGCTGACTCAGGTAATGGACTGTCCTCAGAGATGTTGAAAGATAACTGAAAACGTCCACCACAAAATGTCTCAGTTTATTAAAATGTCTTTAAAGGTTTGACAGTTCTTGACATGTTTACCCTGTCTCACACAGTTTTCATTATATGGTTTCTATGGCTAATTAGAAGCCTGGCTTTGAGTGAATAACTCTGCAGCATTAACTTTCTACACTTTATGCACTGTAAGTACAGTCACATCGTTAAATCCAGCTCCCAAAAATACTTGAGACATTCCTATCAGGTTTTTCACATTTTAGATAAACAAGAGATCAGAAATGTCATTACCCATTGGCGGATACGTTTCCACAACTTGTTAAACATTTTTGAAGATCCTCTTCTTTGCTACTTAATCGAACCTGTAACACAGAAGGAGTAATAGTCTTTTTCTTTTTTTTTTTACATAATTGTAACAGAGCAGATAGAGCTATAGTTCCTTGTTTTATAAAAGTAATAATCACAATTCTGAGCAAAACACAAGTTTTTAACAGAACTTTAGTTAAACAGGGAACGGGGTGAGGATTCCTGAAGTTGAATTTAATGTGAAATAGGTTGGAAACGTAGCAACATTGCGATTGACCATGGTGACACACATGTAACATATTTTCAGTGCTGTGAAAAATTTCTCCTTGTGATGACACGATTTTCAAAATGTTACTGTGTCCGATCAGCTGATAGGACAGAACCAGATGAATTTGAATCGTCTGTCTCAAAGGCCAGATTTGTCTAATTTAACTGTTACAAGACTATAAGAACATGTATAAAAATATATTACTGACAACTCAACTAAATGATCTTAATGTAAGGAAAGAATTGCTCCACATTGCATTGGAACACAGACTCGCTTGCTATTTGTGATTATTTTTTTGAAAATAAACAACTCTTTGCTTACTTAGTTTATTTGAAATAGCAAAACAACTGAATCTGGACTTAATGTAAATACATGTTTTTCTGAAAAGCTTAGACAGAAACGCCTATGAAGATAATTTCAAACAAATATTATTTACTTGGAATTGTTATTAAATTTTTGTTCTGGTTATTTTTCAAGTTAAATACATTTGTCCACAAAAACCAATAAAAATAAAAGAAACAAATAATATGACAATCCAATCGACCAAGCATTTTTGATTATGTAAACAACTGGTCTGGGATTAAAATGTTTACTGTACCTAGTCTTGGTATTCTTCACTGTAAATATAGAGATGCAAAATATGCCACCTCGTGGTGACATGGCTTGACAAGGATCTCAACTTAAACTCATTGAAATCACGAAACCTGCCTTATTTAATTGAGAGCACCTTCAGTGAGAAAAGGAGCATGAGGCTTCAGGAAAATGGCAGAAATCACATCAATTCTCTACTTCATAAATCTTCAAAAGAAAATAGTTTTAGGTATAAGAATTATGGACACAAGCTGAGAATAAACAGCTGCACAACAGTTTTACTTACTTTTCAAATTAACAGTTGTTAAGAGGTCAGCTTTCACAGGGAGTTGTGGAGATGAATGCTTTAAATGATCTTGTCAGTGTTTTTGTTTTTCAAATGATGTGTTTCTATGGAGATAAGAAAAGAAGCTTGAAATGTTGCACAGTGAGCCAAAATATCTCTTTTCATATTACAATACATTTGTCAATTGCTTTTGGAAATCAAGTTTCTAAAGTCTGGAGGAAGAAGGGAGAGACATGGAATCCAAGTTATGTATTTAGCCATATCATCTACCGATGATGATCCTCTGTGTTTTTTCAAGTCCAATCTTAGCACAGCTGTCTAAAGACTTATCTGCTGACAAGTTCTATGGAAATCCTGATTTAGTTTTCCAGCAGAAAAAAATATTTTCTCACATTGCCACTAGTACCAATACTTGCTTTAATGAGCAGGATGGTTTTGCTGTTCTTGATTGGGCAGCAACCTGGTCTGACCTAAACACCTAAGAATCTTTACAGTATTGTTACTAGAATGACCCAAGCCAATTATGCTGACAGGCTCTGGGGCCTATTCAATCGACCTGGTCTTCTTTAACACCTCAGCTGGGCCACAGGCTGATCACTTCCATGCCATGCTGCATTTATGCAGTAATTTATGCAGAAGTTGGTTAAATCACATACTGAAACTGTGTTGTGGCTCATGGACATACTTTTCAGGAACCTGACATTTCTGTATTGTAACTCCTTTTTACTGCTTATTTGTCATATTTTCAGAGGAACTGAATCTCTTGGTAATGTTCTTTGTGTTAGCGAGATCGTACCCAAATCAATAATTTATTGCATAACTAAGCACTATAAGTAGAAGAAGAAGGTTGAACCTCTTACGCAGCGAATCCAGATGTAAGCACTTACTTACAGTTAGATGGAGACTAAGTTTTTGTCTGGTCACAAGAAGAGCAGCAAAGAAGCTATTTCTGTCTAACAAAAAAGATAAAAGACACTCGTGTTTCCAAAGAAGTACCATGTTTGGACTGTTCAGACTTGATAAAGCCCTTTTCAGACTGCCTGAGACATCTAGAAAAAAAGACTGTCTGAAGAAGAAAAACTTGGAGGTTAACATGATATGTCTGACAATGAGGCACCCAGAAACCATTCATGTGAGGGTTGCCTCCAATCAAAAAGTAGACTCACACTCACAGTTTTGCCTAAAACAGTGCAATAAAGAATGGGATGAAAGCACCCGTTAAAGAGCAAATTGGTATTGAACCTTGTCTGACCTAATGCTTTGTATCAGCATGTCATGGAGCAAAAATACATCAAAACATTTTGATTTTGCCTCATTAGCCAGGTACATTTTGGCTCTCAATCCCATTTAGAACTTGTTGATTTTTCTCCATTTACTTGAAGGCTAAGGCCCTTTGAAACATGGAAAATATTTTTTTAACCAAACTTTGCTGTGATGCAGAAACAAAAAGAACTAATGATATTGAAAACCAGATTTATTTCAGCTTTAAAATGTTTTACCATAACTGTATTCATTTAATCCACTCTGTTCTTGTCATTCACAGTGGCTAGCTTGACAGGCTGAACTCCTAATTCATTGATCTGTTCATGTAGGCGTTTGAATTTTCATTTCTAACTTTTAAGGTTTAGATTCAGGTTTACAAACAGATTCAAGGTTTTTTTTGAGTCCAAAAGAGCAATTGTTGTTACAGTAAATGAAAAAAAAAACAAAAAACAGATGATTTCTAAAAGTGAGGGACAATACAGTTTCCCAAAAACAACATCAATAGCAGTCCATACAAGATAGAGCACCAACTGTTTTTCATCATCAGTAACATATGTGGAATAAATAAAAACAAAAAGCTGCTTACCAACCAAACAATCAGATGCAAAGACCTAATATGTAAACGGAGATCAAGATCAAAATTGATCAAACTATGGTAGTAGCACGTTAGATTTTATTGTGATTGATGAAGAAAATTTGAAAAGTAAAGTGAAAGAATTATTTTATACATTTCAAAATGATTTTGTTCTTGAACTCTTGTATAGTTCAGCATTGCTTATGTTTTTATGTTAGAAAAGTATTTTTTAAGTGTATTCTTCAATCAAGTTGAATCTTAAAATTATTCTGCACACTGTGAATCTGCCTTTTTTCAATATTAAACAAAGCAATCCTTTGTCTTCGCTCTGTTACATCACCCAGCCATGTGCAACTGATAAAAGCAATAAAGGCACAGACTGTGAGTTCTTTATGCCTCATAGTGGCAACGCATCTGTTGAAACAAAGTAGCCGAAGCTCCAGTAGATTAACAGAAGACCCAGAATCAGAAATGACTGAAACACCTCTCTGGCTCCCCATGACTGTGATGATCCTGTTTCAGGCTCCCTCATTAATCTTTTCTCCTCCTGCAGTCTGTTAGAGGAAGAGTGGACTCCACACTCACCTTCAGTGTTTTCTCTCTTTATATCCATGCGGAGGGGAAGATCTGGGAATTGCAAAGGCTGAGAAATCTCTGCAGGGATTGAGTCAAAGCCAGGACAAGCATATGTGTTTCCAGAGGTGAGTGGAGGCTTAAAAACTCTGCTATCTGTGACCACTTCATCCATCACTCTGATTGACACACAGGGCTCACATACACATAGTTAGTCTAGAACTGTACACACAAAAAAGCATGATTCTTTAGGCTCCTCATTAAAAACAAAATACAAATGATTTGTTATTTACCATAACAAATCATCTGGACCTTGTTATGGCATGTACACTAAATGATTGTGCCTTCAGTCTAACAAGCATTTCCTTAAAAATTATTTTGTGCAATAGGAACACAGCATTTTATATTATTAGAAATGGCAAATATTTGTTTTATAGGGATACAACATAGGTGTCACTAGGAAACCCACTGTACTGGAAAAATGTCCCGAAATATTTCTTCTTTGTCACAGTAAAATTTCTGATCACTGTCCAAATGCCAATAGAAGAGTATCTGACTGCTTGGAAGGAAAATACAAAGCAGCCTAAAACTCATTCACAGTAGCTCATTATTTGTACAAATGCAATAATGATGTGCCGCGTTCATTCTTTATAAATTGACAAGAAAAATGTGGAACATGAAGAAGATGGTGCAGATACTTTGTCTGGTCATTATCTCAATTTCAACATTATCATTTTACAAAACAATAACGCTGTACCTGTCATAATCTCAAGAATTATTATGACAAATATGCAGAGTCAGACTGTAAAAAGGTAAAATATGGGATTTTTTACAAGATGACAGGGATATGTGCAAAGAGGTGAGAGTCTGGAGTTTTCCAGCAACGTGGTTCGAGGAGAGGTTTTGGTGTGACGAGGGCAGAGCTGTATCCCATGGAGACAAGGTGTAGTGCAGACTGAGTTGTGTCTGTCTGATCTGGTTTCTTGTCCTGAAGGGAGAGAAACTGTGGAGGATGACCCTGGAACACAGGAGATCCAGAGGAGAACCAGAATGAGGTGACTCTTGGTTAACAGGTAACAGAAAGCAAAGGTAAGCTGCATTTGGACAGAAATGGGGGAAACTTGTAAGCCCGAGAACACCACCCCATCTGTGAAGTACAGGAGTGGCAGCATGATGTTTGGTGGGCGTTTTGCTGCAAGAGGGACTAGTGTCCTTCTCAAAACGGCAGGCGTTATGTGGAAAGAACATCATGCAATGAAACTGAAGCAACATCTCAAGACAATACCCAACAAGTCTCCTGCATAGACAATGACTCTAAGCACAATCCCAAATTAATTACAAAGGACAATGCCCAACAGAATCAATATTTTGGAATGGTCATCTCAAACCAATGACCTATCTCATAGAAAATTGAAGGTTTTGTGTGAGTAAGCAAGACTACAAACCTGCAGCCTTAGCTAAAGGTTACAGACGATTTGTCAGATGGGTGAACTTGTGAGGAGCTGGGGTAAGGATACGTGTGATGATTGACCAAAATCAATCATTTAAAGGCAATGTTGCAAACACTAAAGATCTGTTTGTTCCCCATAATATTTTGCCTCTAAAATGTGTTTTGATTTTGACATACGGAATGTCAATCCTTTCTAAAAGTTATTGGTCAATTTCTTCCAAACAGATCAGAATTAAACTTAAACTGCAATAAAAAAAAAGAATGAGTAAAAGTTCAAAAATTATTCCTGCATAGTGCAGGAATAACTTATATTCAATTTGGACTTTATTTTTAGTGTATGGAAATATGGAAGTACTTGGAAGTATGACTTTATGTCTGGCAATGCCTGTTTTCAACATTATTATCCTATAATACCAGATTGGAATCTGGTTAAGTTTTTAGTGTGATTTATAATCGTCAATGAATCAGCACTAATGTGATGGTAACTAAATAAGTAATTAAAATTAAGCATCAAATCTAATCAATTCCCACAGTGTTTAGATGGTGCACTGCTCTCTTTGAATCAACAGTTCAGCCAACAGGCTGCTTTATAGTTTAATTATTATGCATTCAGCCTTTACAGCATCCCTTATTCTTATTTTGGCAAATAGGCTCGTAATTTCTTTTGACTTATTGGACAACTGGGCCAGGATAATCTCTGACATTCGCCGTCGTCTTCCTCATTTATCATTTCAAAAGTCAGATACTGCGATCTGCAGGGAGACAAATTGAGTTTTGATTGACATGGACCTTGTTTCTCCAGAATAATTATGAATGATTGAGGGATTAGTGCCTGCTTTCATCATAAATAATTCATTAAACCTGCCTGCTTTTGGCCCCCCACTTAATGCTTGCTCCTCTGCTGTTTCTACACAAATTCATCGTTGGTAAATGTGATACGTTTGGTCATGCATTATTGGAGTTCTAAACGTAGGTTTATAAATAAATGACCTGACAGTCAGCTGGACTGACGTTGAATCATCCCAGACAGTGGAAACATCCCTCTAGAGTTTAGACTGGCAACAACTTGGATTCTGTTCCTTTACAGACTCCCTCTAGACTCAGGAACTTTGATTTTTCAAATGAGATGCAAAACTACTTCATGGGGCAGCAGTCACTTTTCCCTTTACCTTCTGGCTGACTCCAGCCACCGTCTACATC